AAAGAGGTATATATCCTCTGATCCAGTAATAACAAAGAAATTAATCTTACAGCCCTTCCTCACATATGAAGAAAATGATATAGTCCTGTTTGCAGTAACCAAAGAGGAGGAGCAACCTACATGTTTATTCAAAGGGTCTGACTGAATAATAATGGTATCTTTAAATCAGAAGTCAGTGCCAAAAGAATGTAGCAACTATTCTCAACATAATAAAGGCCATCTATGAAAAACCCAGAGCTAACATCCTACTCAATGGTGAAAAACTGAAAGCTTTGCCCCTAAGATAAAGAACAAGAGAAAGATGTCCTCTCACCACTTTTATTCAACATAGTCCTAGCCACGATAATCAGACAATTAAAAGAAATAAAAGGCATCCAAATTGGTAAGGAAGAAATAAAACGTTCACTATTTGCAGATAGCATGTTACTACATTTGGAAAACCCTACATATTCCATCAAAAACTACTAGAACTGATACATAAATTCAGTAAGTTTGCAGGATACAAAATCAATATACAGAAATCTGTTGCATTTCTATACATTAATAATAAAGTAGCAGAAAGAGTAGTTAAGGAAACAATCCCACGTACAATTACACCAAAAAGAATAAAATAGCTCGGAATAAACTTCACCAAAGAGGTGAAAGACCTGTACTCTGAAAACTATAAAACACTGATGAAAGAAACTGAACATGACACAAAGAAGTGGAAAAACATTCCATGCCCATGGATTGGAAGAACAAATATTGTTAAAATGTCATTACTATCCAAAGCAATCTATAGATTTAAGGTAATATCTATCAAAATACCAACAGCATTTTTCACAGAAATAAATAATCCTAAAATTTATATGGAACCACATAAGACCTCAAATAGCCAAAGCAATCTTGAAAAAGAATAAAACTGGAGGTATCACAATCCCAGATTTCAAGACGTACCACAAAACTATAGTAAATCAAAACAGTATGGTACTGGCACAAAAGTAGATATGTAGATCAATGAAACAGAATAGAGAGCCTGGAAATAAACCCATGACTATATGGTCAATTAATCTATGACAAAGGAAACAAGAATATGCAGTCTCTTCAATAAATGGTGTTGGGAAAACTGAACAGCAACATGCAAAAGAATGAAACTGGACCACTTTCTTACACCATACATAAAAATAAACTCAAAATGTATTAAAGAACTAAATGTGAGACTGTGGTGTGTGTGTGTGTGTGTGTGTGTGTGTGTGTGTGTGTGTGTGTGTGTGTGCAGTACGTGCCCTCTTTAATACCCATCACTGGGCTAACCCATCCCCCCACCCCCTCCCCTCTAGAACCCTCAGTTTGTTTTTCAGAGTCCATAGTCTCTCATGGTTTGTCTCCCCCTCTGATGTACCCCCCTTCATTCTTCCCCTCCTGCTGTCTTCTTCTTTTTCTTCTTCTTTTTTTTTCTTTTAACATATAATGTATTATTTGTTTCAGAGGTACAGGTCTGTGATTCAACAGTCTTACAGAGTACACTAAAGTTTCTAAATGTAGTTCCAAACACAACTATGCTGGAGTTTTCATTGTCTCACTATAAAAAACTCAGCATAGCTTGAATATACATTTTTTTGTTGAAATACAATAAATGAAAACATAAACTGTTGTTGTATATAAGAAGATAAAATAGGACACTCTGCAAAAATCAAATACTCTCAATATTACTGAGTTTTACTATAAGCTTCCAGAAAGGACTTCCAATAAAACAGTTGAAAGAACACAAGAAATTACAGGAACAAGACCCTAGACAGGAGGAGCACTGTCAGGACAGGGAGGAAATTGCTCACTCATTCCATAGCAAAATTCTAAACTAAAATACTTTAATTTGCCTGATTATGAAAAACAAAGTAGGAAAGGACAATGAAGGGTGTGGAAGGAGGTAGTTTCCAATTTTAGGTATGGGACCAAAGGTAGGACTCTTAAGAAGGTGACATCTGAGTAAATGCCCAGAGAAGATAAGAAAACTGCAAGCCATGCAGACATGGGGAGGTGTGGAACAGAGCACCCCAGCACAGGCAAGAACCCAGCACAGGCAAGAACCCAGGCACCAGGGGGAAAGTGGCATGGAACCTGAGGACCAGAGTGGAGTCCCGGGTGGCCACGATGGAACTGGGGAAGGAGAAAGGGGTGGGAGATAAGGCCCCAGAGCTCAGGAGGGGTTTGTGTATGAGGTGAGCAGACACTGGGGTGTGTGGAGCCAAAAAGCGGTATGACAACTTATATATTCATAGCTTTGCTCCTTTAGTCATCTTGAAAGAGACAGAAGGAGAGCATGGAAAGAAGCAAGAAGATGCTTTAAGAAACTACTGCAACAATCCAGAGGACAGACAATGATTACCTGCAAATGTTCTAACAGTAGAGGTGACAAGAAGTGCTGGACTCTGTGCATTTGGAAGTGGAGTTACCAAGATGTTCCCACAGGCAGAAGGGAGATTATGAGAAAAAGACGAGTTGATGATATGTGGAGGAACTACAAGAAGGTGGTTTCCATTTCCTGAGTTGGGGAAGAGTGGGGAAGTGGAGGGAGGGTCAGGAGCTTGATTCTGCCATGCCTTCAGCACCTAAGTGGAACCATGGCTGAGGCAGTAAGGAATGCTGCTCTGGTGATGGAGTAGACAGTGGGTTTTGAGAGGGATCAGTGTGCAGCTGGCATTTGAAGTTACAAGATGAAATGAAAGCACCAAGAGGGTGAGGTGGACAGGACAGAGAAGAGGTCAGTACTGAGCCGAGCAGAGCACTTTAGTACTGAGAAGCTAGAGAAAGGCATAAGGAGGAGCACAGGGGAGGCAGGGAAACAAAGCAGGAGTGAGCACTAACTGCAGGGAGACATGATGGCCACACAAGTGACCACAGGAGAAGCAGGATGGAGGTCACTGCCAATGCTAGGGGTGTGGTATGGGGAGTGCTGGGCTGGAAGCCTGAAAAAACAGGCTCAGTAGAGAATGGGAGGCAATATGGCCATGGTGGGGAGAGGAAGTACAGTCAAGATGAATTAAAAAAATATTTTTAACATAGTAGAAAAATAATGGCATGATTTTAGTACGATGAGAAATTTCAGAGAGGAGAATTAATGGCATTGTATTATTTTTTATTTTATTTATTTGAGAGAGAGCACAAGCACAAGCAGTGGGGGAGGGGCAGAGGAGAAGCAGACTCCCCACTGAGCAGGGAGCCTGATGTAGGGCTCGATCCCAGGACCCTGGGATCATGACCTGAGCTGAACGTAGACATTTAACGGACTGAGCCACCCAGGCGGCCCATTTGTATTGTATTCTTGAGTGAGCTACACAGAAAGACGGTTGGTCATTATAGTATTATTTGTAATATCCTCAAATTGAAGACACCTAACTATCAACAGAAGAACGGATACATTAATTGCATAAATTAATACAATGGAATACTTTATAGCAATAAAAATGAACAAACTGCTAAATATAACAATATTGTTGAATCTCACAAGCATAATATTAAGTGAAAGTAGTCAGGAAAAAGAGAATGCATATTGTATGATTACTGCATGCTTTTTTTTTTTTAATTCATTTATTTGACCCAGAGAGAGACACAGCGAGAGAGGGAAAACAAGCAAGGGGAGTGGGAGAGGGAGAAGCAGGCTTCCCACTGAGCAGGGAGCCCAATGCGGGGCTCGAACCCAAGATCCTGGGACCATGACCTGAGCCAAAGGCAGAAGCTTAACGACTGAACGACCCAGGCGCCCCTACATGGTTCTATTTATATGAAGTTCTCAAACATTCCAAGGACTCTATTATATCATAAGTCAGGATCATAGTCACCTGGTGCAGGAGGGAGACGGAGGAAATGAGAGGGGGATGGGGTGGCTCCAGGTATGCACTTCATTCTATTTCTTGGACTGGATAGAAATTACATAGTCAGGGCACCTGTGTGGTTCACTTAGTTAAGCAGCTGCCTTCGGCTCAGATCATGATCCCGGGTTCCTGAGATCTAGTGCCACATCAGGCTCCCTGCTCAGTGGGGAGTCTGCTTCTCCCTCTCCCTCTGCCCCTCCCCCCTGCTCAGGCGCACATGCTGTATCTCTCTCCCAATCACTCTCTCAAATAAATAAATAAAATCTTTAAAAAAAAATTACATAGTCACTTTGTGATTATTTGTAGAAATGTATCCTTATAATTTGTGTATGATCCTGTATATATCTTATACTATTCAATAAAAGATACATTAAAAAGCAAAACAAAACAAAACAAAATAAAATGCAAGTTACCCTACGTTATCCGCAGCCTGTTAGTGGAAGAATTTAAGTAAAGACTGAGAATCATTCACTATGGACACTGAAAAAAAGATCCCTGTGGGAGGGATGTTTAACTTTTAAGACCTGTAAGTCAACTTCAAAACTAAGAATTTAGCAGATGAATGAAACTTCTAAAAATTTGCCAATAAAATTAATAGTTAGCTCTTAAAACAAGGCTGCTCAAACATTCCCTCAATAACAGTAAGATTTTCTTCTTTTTGTAGTAAAATTAACCTATAGAGAAGCAAACATGTGTCCTTAAAAATAATTTGATTCATTAATGACCATTTATGCTTCTAAAGATCAAACCGTCCTATGTCTTAATATATGCTTTTCATCCCTCCCAAAGTGATTAGCAAAGAAATATTAATGTGCATTATCATATTGTCACATAATGCCTCTTAACTAAAATTGTATTTCTAAGAAAGACAAAAACAATACCAGCCAGATTTTATAAGACACCACTTAGACAGGAATCTTGATATGGTTGTTTCTCCCTTGCCCCTCTATCCTCAAATTATCAAAAATTTCCTGCCAAAAGTACAGACAAGCATTCAAATACAGGTCAGTGCTTCTGTTACATAAAATCTATGTCAAATTCTGGCTTCCTTCTCCTGGCATTTCTTCATAATAAGGTGACAAAAATGTTCATCATAAAAATATCTTTTGAGACAAACTCACAGTTAGTCAATCAGTTCTTTGCACTCACCAGGGAGGGTAGATATGGACAATGTCTTGGGGATGTCCCCTGAGGTGGTGAGCAGTCTCCTTAGTGAACAGAACCTTCAGGCCAGTCCTAGGGGCCTCACCTTGAGAAGGGCTGTTGGCCTGCAGCCCTGCTAAATGCTCACACATGGCAACTTGGATGGTGCATTCCTCATGCAGCTCTAGAATTTTCACAATTAATACACCCGATTTTCTACCTAGAAGGTGAAGAAGAAAAAAAAGCAAAATGAAGTATAATAGACGTATGGTCCAACTGTGAATAAAATGTCATGAAAAAAAAAAGAAAGAATTAAGATTGCTTTATTCACCTCAAGAAAATGGTTTGTATATTTTTCAACGTATAGACTCTAACACACTCACTGTGACATCTTTTTAATCAAAATAACTTACATGTTGCATTTTAAGCAACATGAAAAATAGTCTTCCATCATAAAGAAACAGTCTTGCATACACAGAAGACTCAGAACCATCATTTCACAGAGCATGTTTTTACACCAAAACTTTAACTCTTTTGATAACCACAACAAAGGGAGTAAGACTACTTATTGATCCTTCTTCTTTCTTATATGCTCCCTCTACCTCATTAACTGCTTTGATTTTCTACTTTGGAAATGATACAGGAGACTGCTGGTTACAAATGTTGTAATGAACATAAAGATTAAAGGTAAGGATTTCTGAGGAATGCTGAATGTTAGGGCTCGAGATTTATAAAGATGGAATTTAATCTAAATTTAAGTACTGGCTCTCTGATTAATTAAGTTCAGTCAGGATAGATAGCATTTCAACACCTGTTTCCTCATGTGTAAAATGGGGATCATGCCACCTGCCTCAAAGAACATTTTTAAGAATTAAATGACAGAACTGAAGTTGACAGTATGTGTAACCTAAAACCCGTATGTGTCCCAGAAACTGTTACAACACCAGGAGACCTAAATAAGGATGCATACCTCAGGACTGTTTATAAGAGCAGAAAACTGGACCCACCACAAATCAATAGGAGGAAGGATAAACCATGCTGTGTACATACAACAGAACACCATGAAGTTAGCTAGTGGACCTGGTCTATATGTATCAGCATAGAGAGATCTCAAAAACAAGAGGGTATAAACAAGATAATGTAGAGTATGATACCCATGATGTTATTTTTTTTAAGCACAGAAAACAATAAAGTATTGTTGAGGATACATATGTAACACAAGTATATAAATATGACCAGCAGGATACATAGAAACACATACCTAAGGAGAGAGAAAGGAGCATGACTCAGGATTTCACACTTACCTGCCATACTGCTTCTATTACAAAAATATGTGAATCAAAAAGACAAAAGATTAAAATGTGTTATTAATTCCAGGTGGTAAGTATACTTATGTTTTTCTATTACTTTGTTTTTTAATTTAAAAAAATAAATGAAATAAGAAAAGCTAAGTGTCTAGCATAGTACCCTGCTAATTAATAATAGACACTGATATGAGTTTTCTTTATCACTTTAGCCAACTGGTTAATAGTGATTAATAAAAATTAATATTTAAATAGCACCAACATTCTAGTTATATAATTTAATTTCATTTCTATTTCTTTCTCGCCTTCTTCTTCATTTTCCACTCACCCCTAATTTTCCATTCCTTCCTTTCTCTAAGTGCCAACAGCATGTGTTCACATATTAAGCAAGGCCACACCACTGAGCACTGTCTTGAACTACTGTTTCCTAAGGTATGTACCTATTTTGCTACTATTTCTTAAGGTAAGGAAGGAAACAGAATGGGGGAAGGATATGAATAAGCACAATGTCAGGCTGGCGGTACTAGTCACTACAGGGGGGAGGGAAATAGAGGACTGAAAACAAGTATTATAGAAAGGCACTAACTAGGAAGTATTTTCTTTCTGCCATAATAGTTGTTACTTTAATAAAAAGTGGCTCACCCTCAGCTGATGAATAGGAAAAGAAGTCAGGATAATGTAAAGGTCACTCTGATACATACACCACTTTTCCCTTGCAGGGCAGCCGGAGCAATAGGTGGAGAATTAGGGTCTTTAGCAGCAAAGGGAAATGCCCTAGGTTTAAATGCAGTAGCTACAGGAGCATTTGTGGACAACATAAGAATTTTTATTTTATTTATTTATTTTTTTAAAGATTTTTTCTTTATTTAACAGAGAGAGGGAACACAAGCAGGGGGAATGGGGGAGGGAGAAGCAGTCTTCCCACTGGGAGCCCGATACGGGGCTCAATCCCAGGACCCTGAGGTCATGACCTGAGCCGAAGGCAGAAGCTTAATGACTGAGCCACCCAGGCACCCCTATTTTAAGAATTTTTAAAACTTGTACCTGTAGTCAGGCCCCATCCCTAAAACTGTGCAGTAGGCATGGAACATCTCTCATCAACCAATGACAGCAGCTGCTATTCAGAGCTCCAGGGCCCATGAAATCAGATGGTCTGGCAGAGCACATCCTCTTGGCTCTGTGTGGCTAAGCCACACTCAGTGGTCTGCCTGCGCTGCACAAGTTCTCTCCTTGGGTACTAATTATCATCTTATGCAGCTCTGACTAAAAGTGAAATAGGTTTTCAGTGGTCTGCCCAATCCTACAGTTCCCATAGACCTTTGACAGATTGTATGAAGGCAAGACATTGCAGAAACTATAGTTATTATAGCAGAAATACCTATATACCTAAGATGAATCATACTGCTACTAACTACACTCTTTGAAGATTTTTATGATAAATCCTGGCAATACTCCTAAAACTATGGTTTCGGCTGAAGATAAATAGCACTAAATAATTTGTAAAATAAACATGCTTCATGGTATTAACTATCACCACAGCCCAGGCACTGCAGCACAGAGTAAACATTCTTTTTTTTTTTTAATGGGGAATAAAAAAATTTATTTTTTAATTTATTTAATTTATTTATTTGATGGTGGAGGGCATGAGCATGAGCACGGGGAGAAGGCAGAGGGAGAGGGAGAAGCAGACTCCCCGCCAAGCAGGGAGCCTGACGCAGGGCTCAATCCCACGACACTGAAACCATGATCTGAGCCGAAGGCAGACGCTTAGCCAACTGAGCCACCCAGGCATCCCCAGAATAAACATACTTAATGGTACTATCACCACAGCCCTGGTGTACTGGGGCTAAGAATCAGCACACTGTACAGTATTTCAATAAGCACACTCTATGATATTACTATCACCACAGACACAATGCACTGCTGTGCAGAAAAAAAACATGCTTTATGGTAGTATCACTAGAACTCTGGTGTACTGCAGTGTAGAATAAATACCCCATATGGTATTGACTATCATCCTTGTGTACTACAGCATGGAATAAACACACCGTATGGTACTGACTATCACCAAAGTCCTGGTACACTGCAGCATGCCTGGTGATTTAAATGGACTTGGTGAAGAATGCTGAGCAGTGCCATTTAGGCTGTACCACAGGGCTAGAACAGCACAATGTTCTCCACAAAGCACTCTAAAGTCTCTCATAGAAAATGTCCTCCAACACAACCTTAGGGAGAAACCAGTGGCCTGCCTTCCCTAAAGAAATTAAGGCAGTGTAATTTGCACTTTGTGTGAGGGATAAAAAAGTAAAAAGCAACCTAAGACAAACTGTGTATTTGAGGCAAGCTTTCAATCTGGGGATAAGAGATACTGGTTTTACAAATGAAGATTAATTAAATAGGTGGTACGTAAAAGGCATTTCTGTGCCAGCAAGGCAACATTTTGCATAAATGATGTAAGACTCAGTCAAAATATCACTTTGACCAGCATGGGATTACTGAATCCCAGCCAGAAGAAACGAAGATTAATTAAATGGGTGGTACGTAAAAGGCATTTCTGTGCCAGCAAGGCAACATTTTGCATAAATGATGTAAGACTCAGTCAAAATATCACTTTGACCAGCAAGGGATTACTGAATCCCAGCCAGAAGCAACTATTCCTTCCCTTTTGAAATCCTCAAATACTTTATCTATACTTATCTTCTTTTTAACAGTGTCCTCATCTTTAAATGGAGACAGTATTAGCCATTCTCAAGAACACTGCAAACATCAAGAGATGTAACACAAAAAGCCCATAGTGCAGGGCCTGGTCCATCACACATGTAATAGCAGCAGCCATTGTCACCATGGTCACTAACAATGTTATTAACTTTCCAAGGCATTTTCAAATCTATTATCATATTTGACCTACAATAACCCTATGAAATAGGTAAGGAAGATATTAATCTCCCTTTTCCGCAGATAAGAAAACTAAAAAAGTCACTTGCTCACATGACTTTCTTAAGATCAGAGAGAATTACTGGCAGGTCTAATCCTAGAAATTGAGTATCCTTTACAAGTCGTGGACCAAAATGTCTCTCAGGTAAATGCTGGTTAAAGATAGGAAATTGTGAGTGATGCTTTTTTCCTACTTTATTATGTTAAAATATGACTTCTTTAAAATGTAAAGAAAGCGGGGCACCTGGGTGGCTCAGTTGATTGAGCAACTGCCTTCGGCTCAGGTCATGTTCCCAGGGTCCTGGGATCGAGCCCCACGTCGGGCTCCCCGCTCGGCAGGGAACCTGCTTCTCCCTCTCCCTCCGCCTCTCCCCCTGCTTGTGCTCTGTCTCTGACAAATAAATAAAATCTTTAAAAAAATAAAATAAAATAAAAATAAAATGTAAAGAAAGCATATCCATTTGAGAAATGGAGGCTGTCACTATGGCTGGACATGGTCAGAATGTCAACACTGATCATCGCACGATAAAAGAAGAGGGTAACTTTTTCACAGTACTAAATACTGAAGAGTAAGTGCCACAAAGATCAAATGGAGAGCATAAATAGTAATATATAACACCAAAGACTTTAAATGATTAAGAAAGAGGAATAAAAGGATTCATATAGAAAGTATACTACAGGATATAGTAATTTCTATCTCTGTATATGAATAGCAGATAAAACAGTTCTTAGTTAAAAATGAAAAATATTTAACTTAAAGGCTAACATTTGCCAAATGAATGTGTGAATGATTTATTTTCAGCTAACTGCTCTTAAGAAAATCTGGTTTTAAATGACTAAGAGGTCACAAAAGAATCAAGTAAATGATAGAAGAAGAAAATGTATCTGAGACTCCTGGGTTAAATGACTTCTTTGAAATATACAGGTATTTCCTTGAAATAGACAGGTAGCCAGGATCCATTTACATGCAAAGTCAACTCCT